CCGCTATCCAGCCAGTCAAAATGTTTGCTTCTGTCCTTATTCCTCTCTCCTTCCCACCTCCCCTAGGGCTGGCAACTCATGTGCCAGGCAACCATTTCCAGATCTGGTTATTCCCATCTATCTTGGAAATGATGGCTAATGACTTGGATACCTACTGGGATTTTGCAGATTTTTTCAGAAGCACCGTCTCGGAGAAGAAGGACGTCTTTGTTTTCTCGTGCCCCACGCAGGCTGGACCGCAGCCACAAGAAGTTCTGCTTGGCGGGCTGTGGTTATCGGGCAGGACCAGGCTGCTGCCCATGGGCAGTGCTCCGTTCTCCGGGCGGCTTTCCAGCTTTCCCTCTCCCATTCCCGTATCCCGCTCCAGTGCAGCAGGAGGGTTCGGACAGCCCTGCGTGGGGACCGGGGGCAGCGAGGTGTCCTTGTCTTCAGCTGGCGTTGCTGGCCGCGTGGCTGCCACGGGGGTGTTGGGTCTGGATGCCTCCGAGACGTGGATGACGGGGAGGGTGCTGCCCGCCGCTGCCTGGCCGTTCATGTGCAGCTTCCTCATGTGGTGCACGACGGCTGCAGCGTTGAAGGCTTGCTGGGGAGGAAGAGAAAAACCCCCAGTGAGCACCTGGTGATGCCAGGCTGGGGGGTGCTGTGGGGTGAAGGGACTGTCCCCCTCGGGTGACAGCTGCACAGGGTGGGCAGCGCGGTGCTGGTGAGCATCGCTTGCACAATACGCAGGAATCGGGATGTGCTCGTTCCTGGCATAAACACCATGGTTTCCATTGAGCACAAACTGCAGATGGTTTCGAAGATGACAACTGCTTCTGCACGAGGGAATCGGGGGGAACAGCTGTAAATTACCACACTGTGAGACTGGAGCTGAGTTTTGAATGCTAGGTATTTAAAATGCTATTGTGCACATGGTTCCTATGGCATCCCTTTCTCCACCTAAATTCTTCCTTGATATAAATGAAGTACTAATTTTTCTCAAAGGTAGAAAGGAGAAAAACCTGTATTAAGCTCCCCAAAAGGTCTGCTGATGGAGCACCAATTTCACTCCCTTAGTAAAAAGCAACAATCCTTTCCCCTCCCCTTTGCTTTCTTGCCGAGGGCACTACAGCGCGCTGCTTGGGGTAAATCTACCAGTATGCAGGGAACATTGGTCCAAATACACTATAAACAGTAACTGCACACAATTTTCCAGCAGCCTTTGGAGGATCTCGGCTTTCGGGCGCTTACCCACGCAGCTGAAGCTTTGCTTTGTGGCTGGATGGCAGCAACTGGCGTTTGATAGTGAAATGGCTCCAGGCTCCCACCAGCAAACGACTTACCCTCCATTTGCTCTTTGCAAAGTTTTTCTGGATCTGCGCGCTGACAGATGGGTATATGTCACGGTGAAGGGCTGTATTTCCATTAATCCTGCAGATGGAGAGAGAAGAAAATGGGCTTGTAGGCAGATGGCATTTGTAAGGCATTCCACATTCTGGAGGCAACTCGCTGCTTTGTACGTTCAATCAGCAATAATTAAACCCAAAGGAAAAACAGCAACAAAATGTAACACAAACACACACTTCAAAGCTGGGGAAGGTTCAGGACGGGATTTCGTCTTTGCCTCTGTTTATGGAGGCAAATATGCACAAATTGCATCTTTAATTATTCATCATTTTGCTTCCTCGTGCACAAAGAAGAAACACCTCGTGCTGTGCCGAGGCAGGCGGTGACGTTAATATCGGGGGCTGGGGGGACCCCCTGTTCTCAGCTACCCCCGAGCATGCGAACCAAGCCGCGGAGGCTGGGACATCCCCGTGGCCACCAGCCACCGCTGGCCCCGGTCCTCTCACCATGGGTGCCGCAGGGCTTCTTCGCAGGTGAACCTCGTGCTCGGGTTTTTCTCCAGTAAATGTCGGATGAAATCCTTGGCTGTTTGGGAGGGAGGAGAAGCAGAGAGAAAAGGTTATTTTCTCCTTGTTCCAAGAAGTGATCCTAACAGGACATGGGAAATGCTGGTGGATGAACATGGCCAAGGCCAGCCCCGAGAAGGAGGTGGTTGTACCACTCCATGACTCCAGTGAAGGGAGATGTTCGAAGGGAAGCTCTCCAGATGAAAAAAATGTTAACTGGGGATGTACCAACCTTCAGGCTTAGATTACCTGAGTTTGAGTTTAATTTTTCAGCTAAAAAATAACTCTAAAAAACATAAAGTACAAACTGAGCAGATTTAGAAGTTGCCCTAAAGAGCAGTTGCATCCCTCCCATTTTTTTTTCCTTTTATTTGCAGGGAGGATCTGTGGTGTTTGTTATGCAGCCCTAGCAAACCTCCTGCTAGTTTTGTTTGTATGCATAAAAGATTGATGTGCAGAATATGCTGCTAAGGTGCTGGCTTCAGTAAGCTCAGGTGAGCCCCACAAGCAGGTTAGCCTGGTGGAAGGGTGCTGTGGTGGCTGACACGGCTTGCTGTGTTGCTGTAAGAAAATGTGACCTGATGGGAAGAAAAGCAAAGGGGGAAAAAAAAAAAAAAAAGGGAAAAACAAGGTGGAAAAATGTGGAGTTCCTCTGCTTCCAAGGGAAAGCTAAGCCTACTTGGAGCTCACTAATTATTTGTGAAAATCAGGATTATGCTAACAGAGGTTTTGGCCAAGGATGCTGCATTACAGGCAGGGTACAAAGTACCTCCAGCACTGCTGGTGCTGGGGGCTGTGGGTGTGGGAGGGGGCACAGTGCTTCCAGCACCGGAGCTTTACCTGACTCGGAGATATCGTCCCAAAACGGAGACTCAAACTCAAAGTAGCCTTCCTTAATCTTTTCAAACAGTTTGGATTCGGTCTCTTCGTAGAAGGGTGGGTACCCGCACAGCCTGGAACAGAGCAGAAAGGCAGCGGGATGTCAGCACCGCTGGACACATCTGCACGGGCTCCTCCACAGCCTGGCCGGGCAACGCAAGGGAGTGAGTAAGAGGCGGCTGCTCCATCCATCTGTCTGTCTGTCCCTCACATCTAAGTGTGTCGGTAAAGCTGCAGAAAAGAGTTAAAAACTGAACTGCAGCAGCGACAGGACAAAGCCACAGCTGGTACATAGCTGCACGGTGTGGGAGGAAATGAAACAAAAAGTACCGAGGAAGATTGAGTGATATTTGTAGGCAACTGGAAAATAACAAAGCAGAGGATGAGGCACATAATAGAGAAAATGTGATTCCTTTCATCTCCGCTCCAGTACTTGATTCCCCACATCCCTTTCATTTCTATGGTCTAGTGAATCTGTGCAAAGGAAGAATACACCGCTGCTGTGTTCCCGCAGCAAAACGGGGGCTGGGATCACCTCTGCTTGCACTGCCACTCTGCCCAGGTGCGTGAAGCGATGGAGGGGTTGGGAAAGTCCTGGAAAATAAGTGGGATGCTGTTTGCCCTTACTCACAGGATGTAGGTGATGACTCCGATGGACCAGCAGTCCACAGCTTTGCTGTATGGCTTCTGGGCAAGGACTTCGGGGGCTGCAGAACAGCAAAAGCAAATGGAAATTCTGAATAATAATAGATTATCCAATACTGGGAGAAGCAGTAGTCTCTTGTGCACTTGGCCTCTGAGGTGCCAGTGCAGAGTCAGCCAGTAACAGCCCCATTTTCCGCTGGGATTGGTCTGTGCTTTTTGTATCTACTTTGTGTTGTTGAATAGAAAGAACCACAGACAATTTCTGCCTGCGTCCTGAGGTTCTAACCAGTGAGCTGTGCATCAAGCCCATGCAGTCTGGTGGACGTTAAGCAAAATCCCATTGTGTTCAAGTTATTTTTGTAATTTTTCAATAAATACATGACTAATGCTGAAATATCTTGCTCTTAAAATTGTCCTTTGCGCTTTTAAACATTCTGGGATTTTGCAGTCTCCAGGCTCATTTGTAACCCAGTCTTTATGTGGTCCACGCAGTGCATTTGTGAGTAGCGTGCTGTTGTTAACATAATTATGTATTTTTTTTTCCTTTTTGCTAGGCAACGCACTGTACATGCATAACCTTTATTCCAGCCAGCCCACCAGCTCATTCCTGATCCTTGGCTCACCAACGTATCCCGGGGTCCCGCAGGCGGTGGACATGATGCCGTTCTGCTCCATTTTAGACAAGCCGAAGTCCGTGATCATGATTTTGGAGTTCTCTTCGGGAGTAAGGTAGAGAAGGTTTTCAGGCTGTGAACGCAGAGTGGTTGGAGGTTGAAATGGGTGAAAAAGGGAAAGAAACAAAGTCATGGGGCAGAGCAGGTGAAGGCTGTGGTCACCCAGCTCCCCGCGGCGCGGCTGTGGCCCAGGGACAGGTCTCACCTTCAGGTCCCGGTGGACTATCCCGTTCTCGTGGAGGTACTTCACTGCTGTCAGCACCTGGTGGATCACCACGCTCGCGTCTTTCTCGGTGTAAACTCCTCGTTCCAAAATGCGGTCAAACAGCTCTCCCCCAGACACCCTGTGGAAATGGGAGTTCAGAAAGAAAAAGACTGAAAAGAAAATCAAACCGAGATAATAATGGTTTTGTGTTAGGTGAGCTAACTTTCTGGTCCTTTTACAACCCCACCTAGAGCAGAACAGTTCCTTGGCAGCAGTGTTTGTGAGGCTGAGGCTGATGGATGCTCCTGAGGGCGATTCCAGGGTGCCAGTAAGCGTTACTGGGGAACTGGGGTAAGGTTATGGTGGAGCTCCCAGCAGATCTGAGCCCAGGCATCCAGCCCCCGAGCAGGACAGCCTCCGGGCTCTGCTGCACCAGCTGATATATGTTGTTCTGTGATTGCTTCCTTGAGCTAGATTTGCAAGCCAGGAGCAGCAGCCGGGCGCTCGGCGCTGATGCCCACAGCGAGCTGCTTTCCCCACAGCTGACATGTTGCCCGTTTTCATTTCTAGAAACCCTGCCTGGCACAGCTTTAATTAGAAATGCTTCTGTCTCTGCCCTGCTAAACTGGGATGAATGAATTTGCATAAAGAGATCCTAATCTTGGTTTAGAAACATGCTGCTGAAATGAGCACGGGCCGAGACAGCAGGAGAAGGGTCCAGGTTAGCTCGAGCCATGCGGCTCTCGCCTCGGTAGCGAGGGGTTTCAGTGGCTCTTGTGTGTGCAGCTTTTGCACGTGAGGGGCTCCGGCGTGCGGGTGCTGAACTACAGCCCATCACCCTGGTCCTGCCAAAAGAACGGCTCTGCTGGTACTCACAGCTGCATGACCAGGTAGAAGTGGGTCGTGCTCTCATAAATATCTTCTAAAGTCACGATGTTTTCGTGCTTTATTCTGCAAAGATAAACGTGGGTCACAAGCAAACAAGGACGAAGCAGCTTCTCAAGTGGAAAACCCAACAGTCGTCTTGCTCTAATCCCCAGTGAGGGTCCCCTGGGCTGGTTTGTGGCTGATCTCCCTCCCCCTGCGTGGCAGAGGATCGTTCCCTGCGCACCCCCTTCGGAGCACCAGGAGGACCAGACGCTTTGTTTTTAAGCAGCTCACCGCTCTGCATCAGGTGCGTTACTTGGACAGCAAAGACATTAACTCTGGTTCTCCCTTCCCTGCCTCCTGCTCTGCTTCACCTGTTCCCTTCCCCGGTCTGGGGCAGGATGCCTGCGTTGGGGTTACAAGCCCAGCCAGGAAATGGGAGAAGAAACTTCACTAATCTATTAATTTACTGTAATATTTTTATATTCTTTAAAAAGAAATACTTCTTTATATTATTGTTACTGCAGAGCCGCGTGTCTTGGGAAAGGACATTTGTTCGACGTTTCATGACACTACTCACTTTTTCAGCACTGCTATTTCATTCTCCAAGCTGCTGTCCCTTGTGAGGGGAGACTTCTTGATGCATTTCAGAGCAAAGAGCTTGCCAGTGCTTCTTTGCTTCACTAGGAAAACTTCTGAGAAGGCACCTCTGCAAAGAGAAGAAGAAGTTGTATTTCAGTAGGTGCTGCTGCTGTGAACTGGAGGGATACTTACAGAGAGAAAGAGGAAAGAGCAACGTGGTGGTAATTTAAAGGGATGCTGATGGGAAAGCTGCAGCTACGTGTCCAGCAGCCCTGAACTTAGTACAGATGCGAGATGGTGGAGTTTTTTCTACACGTTGCATAATCTCTGTTTGTAGAGAAAAGGTTATTTTTGCAAAGCTCATCATGTAGCTGTGTGAGGTAGCGGACAAAAAAGATCCCTGCAGTGAAATTAAATCGTATTCCTCAGGACCATCCATACAGACCAACACGCTCTGTACCTGAAGTGCAAAATAACTGGAAATCCTCAGTTAATATTTTCATTCAGCAGCTAATGGGTTTTCCTTCTTGCAGAGACTGCTAATTCCTGCGTGCCCTTAGTCACAAAGTGACAATGAGTGTCATGTACGCTCCCCATAAGAGTTCAGCCCAGTGCGGAGATGAGCAGGTATTTATGAGATGCCGAAAGCTCCCAATCCTGTTAAGGGTTTGTCTCAGGCAGCTGGACACGTGGCTCGGGACAGTGACAGTGCATGCTTTGCCAGGTCAGCCCTCGATAATCCTCATCAAATGAGCAAGAGATTAACCGATGGCAATTAAATGGAACTTGCCCCTGAGTCTGCAGAGCCCCGCGGGGAGCTGGAGGGCAGAGCCAGGAGGGTGTGCGCAGCAGGAGCACCTTTGTGTTTGGGGTCCCATTGCAGCAAACCCAACAAACTAGGGCAGAAAACCTCCCATCATCCACCAGACAAAGGATCCAGCGCACCGTGCAGTTGGGTGGCTGGGCACGGAGCTGTATCCATCTGGCACACGGTGCTTCGCTCCTGTGTCCTTGTTGGCAAGTGGTGGCCGGGGATGGTGTGGGGGGAGCCAAAGGCAGTCCCTGGCCCCCTCTGCCTTCCTCCTCCTCCTCCAGCCAGCCCCTGAGGCTGCCCACACAGTGTGCAAGAGCATCAGGGCTGGGAGGAATTGGGATCTGTCAGGACTGGTGCCTAGCAAGGATGAGGGATTCCTTTAAAAAAAAAAATAATAAAAAAAGCAAAACAACAACAACAACAAAAAAAACCCCAAATGAAAAACCCTATAGATTTTTGTGAAGGCATCCCAACAGACAAATTCGAGTCTTGCTAAATTATACACCATGGTCTTCTCTCTTCTAGCCCAGAAAGCAGTTGGTGGTGGGACCCTTTCCTCATTTCACGTTTTTCTCCTTTTATCCACGTGAACTCCGAAGCTGTTTTGTGGAAATGCCTTTCACGTTCCCAAGGGCTCTCAGGGAATAGGCAGGGACGTCCTCACTGAGGTCCCTCATCCGACAGTCGTGGATGCTGGGGAAGGTGACAGTAAGCTTCCAGGTAGTTTTAGGTCCCAGATCTTCATTTACCTTCCCCAGCTAGCTGGAGTGGTGTATGTGGAAAAAAAAAAAATCCCAATTTCTAACGCTAGATTTTCCTATTAGTGTAATAGTAGGAAATGAACAACCTCCAAATCAGATGCCGTGGCATCTGTTCCGTATATCTGTCCCAAACAGTTTATAATAATTATGCCCCTTATTAAAAAATGATGAATCAACAAGTGAGCTAGGAGAGAACAAGGCTTTTTCTAACCTCATTCCTGTAGAGAAAGCTGCTGGATAATTTAACTCATTTCTGAGGCTGACCAAAACCATGATAATTTAAAATGTCACCAAGCTCTGGAGTAGCTGTTTTTTAGGAGCTTTGCCGTGGGTTCTAAAGTCACAGAAAATGTGGCCGTGACAGAACTCACTGGTGGAATTAATTCAATTCCTCCTCCACCACCTTGCAAATGTTTTCTCGTCTCATTCGCATGAATAGGCAAATGAAGCTGTTAACTCACAGACAAGTATTGTACAACTCGAACATCCTCGTTCTTGTTTCATCCCTCAACTGAGTCAGGGTTTATGCGCTAAATATACGGCTTATTATTGTAATGCCTCTCCCAGAGCCAGCCCTTGCCCTTGCCTGACCTTGCAGCAGCGGCAGACCAGTGTGCTCGGCAGGAAAAGAGCAAAAACCGAACGAAGCGGCTGCACAGGCTTAGAGGGACAGGAGGGAAGGGCAGAGAGGACCCGGAGATGCACTGGGGGGAAGGAACTGCTGCGGTGCCGCTTGGCAAGCGAGAGCCGTGAGTCAGAGCCCAGCAGTGATGGGGTGCCCACCCCTCGCCCCGAGATCCTCGCCTGACTCAGAGGAGATGTTTTATGGTGCCTTTGGGCAATGCCAGGGGGGAGTCGCTGCCCCGGGGGAGGATGCTGGTGTCTGGAGGGCAGCGGGGTACTTACGATCCCAGGGCCTCCATGAAGATGAACGTCTTTCGGATGTTGCTCGTCTGTTTCTTCCAGGAGCTGCTGTCATCCTCTTCCTTGCGACCCATCTCCTCCAGAGTGGAAGCAGGGAACTCTGAGAGGAGGAGGAGGAGGAGAAGGGTGAGCGATGTGGTGAACGGGAATGCCCGGGAGCTGGCTGGAGGCGGGATGCTGAAGGGGCTTTGCTTGGCCAGCGGAGTTGGCCTTTTCCAGTAGGTGAGATTTTGCGCTGCTTTTGCTCCTCCCAGCTGTTGGTGCTGGCCACATCCCTGCCATTATGTCCCCCTCCAGCCATCAGCCCAGCGTAACGCCAGATCAGCTGGTCAGGAGCTGGTGACCAGATGGAAACGCTCCCTTGTCAGTGTACTCATGTAGTGTACGTTGGCAATTAAAAATGTTTATATTCCGCTTCACATTTAGTGGTTAAAAAGCCCTGCTGAATGGTTGCTAATTTTAACTGGAGCATCCATGACTTAATGGATTAAAAGTTAGGCACAACTGGTGATGGATTATAGCTGAGCTGCTTTATCGCTCAAATAATGAATAGTTTAAAGACCTCACGACTGCAGGGAGGGGAATTGATATCAAACATTTTGTTGATCTGTCTCATGCAGTTTGTGCTGCTGTCATCTTTAATTTTTTGTTAACTGACAGCTTGCTTTTGCTCTGAGTCATAACCTTCCCGTTGCCTTTTTCTCGCAGGGTGGCGATGCCGCGGTGCAGGCGGGTGGGAGGCTGCTGACGGGGTGAAGGGGTGCCCAGCTCGGATGTCCCACCCTGATGGCTCGTCTCTGTGCTGCGGACGTGGAGCCAGTGGTCCCTGCCGTGGGGCTCCCGGCTGCTCCGTGCATCTCCAGCACACACTGCCGGTCACAGACAGCTTGACCTTGGCCAGGTCCCAGTCCCCCAGCTCCCCCCCAGCGCTAAGCTCTTTAGAACCCAGGCTGGGCAGCAGGGCTGTAATGCAGAGAGGAGCGCTGTCAGCATCAGGACAGCTCACCGGAGCGCTGGGAGAGCTTCTGGGAGCTGGGAAATGTTATACAAATATCTAAGCGCTCTTAATGAGATCAGGTCTGACATTACAGAACTGGAAGTACACTGGAAGGTGAAAAAGAAGCCCTGAGACTTGAGAAAAAAATAAAATAAAAGAGTGACTTGGCCACACTATCTGGATACAGAAGAAATGGGCTGAAAATATCCCCAGGCAGCGGGGGCTTGGGTACCGACAGCTGCGCCCTGGGCACGTGGAGCATCACGCTTCTCGAGAGCCGCAACGGCTGCCCCAGGGCTTGGGAGACACCGCCCCACCTTCGTAAGGAGCCTTCGTAAGGCAAAACACAACCTTTTGTGTAAATAAAAAAAAAAAAAAAGTGTTCGGAGAAGGCAGAAGTATTAAAACAGAGAAAAAGCTCAAGGATCTTGTTTTGTGACAGGCAGTTTAGATATTGAATTCCTCCTGAACCCAGTTTAGCTCCTTAATTAGCACAGTTTCAGGGGTTTGAGCTCCTTGACACAATTTTTTAAAGGTTAATTTAACATTATTGAAAACAAAATTGACTCAACTGTAAACAGTTGAAGGCTTCAGTCCATAAAATCACCAAAGGCCATTCTGCACTTGACCTTTATTTACCTTGTGGGTTCTGATGCACGTGTAACTCCTAAAAATACAACTCCTTATACAAACTTAACAGCATCTCTTGCTGCTTGGAGTCAGCGAAAATCAAAAGTTATTCCCAAAAAAGGCTGATCAATTAGTAGACACCTTTCTGCCAACATTTTGAGCCCCAAAATGAAGTTTTCATTTGCAGCTATTTACCCATCCCAAATCCCTACAGCTCTGGAACATCACTGAAAGAATTCTCAGCAGAGACGTCCAGCGGCTGGTGGCAGGTGAGTTTTGTCATTTACCCACTTTAACCAAATATCAGATGCTTGATGCCAGTGTGGTGTTGAGTGATGGGTAAAATTCAGGCAACCTCTCGGGTTCCTTCCCAGGGTATTGTCAAACAAAGAATATGAAGTGAAAAAAAAAAGGAAAAAGTAGATCAGCCTGGCCTTGGGGACAAACAGTATTTTTGTCCCTGTTCCTGCACAGCCCAGTTGCAGCAGCTCTCTGGGGCAGCTGGACCTGGGGAGGCTGGATCCCACTGCAGGCACTGGGCAGAGGTGACTGTCCCCCCGCAGCAGGAGGTGACAGTGGAGCCACGCACAGTCGCTGCCGTGAATTTGTCCCGTTTGGTCACACATATCAGATTTCCCCAGTGTTTGCCCATTTAAGCTCCATTCCCTTAGTGTTCTCACGTTTCATCCCTTACAAATTCGACGAGTTCCTTTTAAAAATGGATTTTCCTTCCAAAGGAAGGTAGTATGGTGTTTTCTTTAGTCCCCTGTGAATCATCTGTTCGTCTTCTCGTTCTCCTTCTGCCGCTCTGCGCGCGGCGTGTGGCGTCGCCGGTTGTTGGGGGAAAGGCGGGATGAGCACCTCTGCCTCCCTCCGCCTGTGTTTGGTTCCCTGCTTTCTCACCTGCTCTGTGCCGTCGCCAACCAGTGGTTTCCTGCCTCCCCTCGCCGTTCTGTGGGGACGGGAGTGAGGGCTGCTATTCCGAGAGCAAAACAATGACACGTTGGAATTGCCTGGATGTGCTGGGGTGAGGAGTGCTGGCCCACCTTCCTCCTTCCTCACGTTGCATCACATCACTCTCGGTACTTTTTCCTCTTTTGGTACACAGGAAAATATTTTCAAAGGGGCTCAGTGCAGGACGCAGAGACCTCTCGGTGACTTTCCTGGCGCAGGCTCAGGGATCTCCTCTGTACTTTGTCTTTCCCTCCGGTTAAGCCCCTTGTTGCACCTCGCAGCAGTTGGCGAGAACGCAATGTTTGGTATGGCTGTTGTCTGGTTTTTGCTATTTATTCAGGCTCTGGTCCAAGAATGTCCTGACCTTTCTGGGTGCTAGCGCACAACGTGTGGGTAAATGGGGTTTGGTGTATCTGCTGGCTTAGCAGAAGCTTTACTTTCCACGGGAACAGAAAAAAGTCACAACACAAGTTGGGCAAGCAGACGTGGTGCTGGGGCTGGCGGGTTTTCTGCCGTATGATGTGTGTGTCTGGGCGCTTCCATCACGCTCCTGACACACTTTGTCAGATCCATCCTGACGCCCCGTTCGCCTCTGCATCATCCCCTGGGGGGTGGGCGCGTTTTCCAGCCCCAGCAGTGGGATGCACAGAGACAGGACGGGATAGAGCGCACCCACCATGCACTGGACAAACGCGTTATTTACACCCCTGCTCTGGAGGGGGGGCAGCGTTTGCCCTTTACCTTTGGGCAGGACAACAGCAGTGTGTGAAGATAGCATAATAAAGTGGAAAATGCCCATTAATTGACGTAGGTAAAGACCTTTGGAGATTAAAATAAAGTACATAATGTGGTTTTAATTTGTTTAGCCTCCCTCTCCCCCACCAATAACAAATGAAGCAACATGCAGGACTTCCATCTGACGGTTATGTGCGGAAAGTAGCGACTAGTTTCAATATTAATGTCTGACCTTTGGGCTCTTCCTCAGACTAAGTCAATAAATGTGAGTGCTGCTGTGCTCTGTCTGCTCCAGCAAATGGCACATCATCGCTTAGAACATAATGAGTGTTAGTGTGACCTTGCTTAAATATTTCCTGAAGAAATTTGTTCTGCTTTCTTATCTCCCAGTAACAAATCCATCTGCAGACAGACACTCTGCTTCTGAATGGATATACTGCATTAGCAGAATTATTGTGAGACATGATTAATAGTCTTGTGACAAAGTTGCATGTGGAGGGGGAAGATCCATGCTGCTTTAGTGATTTTGTCGTTAGAATTAGAAATAACTTTACAGGGAAAAAAAAAAAAGGAGAATACAAAGTCAAAGGGCTTTGCTTTTAAAAAATACACCACAACAAGCAATCTGCATGTGAATGAATTAATTGCCAGGCCAGCCTCTGTGTTCAGGGACAAAAGAACAAGAAATTGAAAACATGAGCTCGCCATTAAAAACAAATCCCCATTAAACATCTTGCATTCATCCCACTGCTCCACCGATTCAAAAGCAGTGCCTTAACTTAGTAGTCCTTGATCAACACTCGCAAAATCACATTTTTTGTTATAAATATTTCAGATTCCTTAAAATACTTTAGAAGTAAAATGTCAGAAGGCAGCTTTCTATGAAATTGCTAAATATAACACGAGTGCTGTAGGATCCTGGGCTGACAGTCTGCACAGAGATGTCCTCTGGTATTTTCCTGGTACCAAATAAAATTCATTTAAAAAAAAAAATAACAAACAGGTTAGCCAGAATCCCACCTGCTTCACTGCCCAGAACAGCCTGGAAAAGCAAATGGCTATTAAGAAAATAATATTTTGCTCACCCAAGTCAGCAGAGAGCAACTCCTGCTGGCTGCTGCTCCGGCTCGGCTCCGGCGGTCTGGGGGGATTAGAGCCCGCGCGGGGAGGAGGAGATGGTAACCAGGCAGCGCTGCACGGGAGGCGATGCCACGGGCACGAGCTGCCTGTGGGTGTGCGGGTGCGTGCACGCTGCTGTCGGTAACGGCAGCGGGACCTGGCAGCGGGCGCGGGAACCCCGGCGCTTGGCGGGCAGGATGGATCCAGCTGCTCTGGAGCTGGGGGAAAGGGTGCCTGTGGGCAGCTGCGGCCGCTCCTCGCTAGTGCCCGGTGGGGTGTTGAAGTATTCCTGGGTGGAATGCTAATATAATTTGCCTTAATCAAATAAATGACTCCTTGGTACTATGAAATTCCCCATTTTCTTCTGTATGATGCTGGGAGCGGCACGGTGTGGAGCAGGGCTGGGCTGGGGTTTCCCGATGGGATGCTCCAGCACCCCAGCCCTCTCCTCTCCAGCCCTGGGAGGGTGATGCTCTCCACCATTGTCAGATGGGATAAAATCACAGAAAAAAATAATTGCAGTAGAGATGAATTTCCATCATCAGAGTTTTGGACTATTTTAAGCCGTGCAATGGCTCTGTTTTGACTTTCAAAAGCTCTGTGTGTGTGCCTTCCTAAGCAGCACAGCACACACCAATA